TGACTCAACAAGAGCTCTTAACTGCTGGGCCATCTCTCCAGCTCCTCAAATTAACTTTTATATAAACAATGAGGATTTGCTGTGGAGAGCTATTAGTAGGAAAGTAATCCCAGATATTTTAGTAAGTAAGAGCCACAGAGTTGAATTTTCAATACTTGCCCTTTGAGGTCTCTGAGAACCTAGGGCCCTCATGTTCTTTGTGGACCTAGAGGCCATTCTGTGTTGTTTGGGATGGCACCACGTCAAGATCTTTGTATCTGCCAGTGTGAACTCTATTATTTGCTACAAAAGTCAGAGGGGAAATTGTGTATGTGACACCTGTCTTCTTACTCTATGTCTGGAACCTTGTGTTTGCCAGTTTTCTGCCTCCCAACAGCCAGTGGACACTGCTTTAGCCTCAGCCTGTGTGTCCTTGTATTCATTCTGTCTAGGCTCTTTGGAACATCCAGGGGCTTCCTTAGAACCCTGGCACACTGAGGGTTGTCTTCAAAGGGCCCGTCTGAAGTGCTGTTTTCTGTTAGCCAGACAGGTTCCCTCGTCTTGTTTGTCTCATTTTGCTGCAGTCAAAAATGAATCTTGAACCATGAATGGTTTTCTCTCAGCACTGCTCCCACTGAGATGTCTTGAGATAATGGATGTAGTATTTAATCCCAGATATATCTTGTGAGGGTGTGTGTGTATGTGAGTGTGTACATGTGTGAGTGTATGTGTCTGTGTGTGTATTTGAATGCATTCAGTCTCTTGATTTATTTGTTACTCATTAGTGTCACTCCCAATCAGACCTTGTTTCCAGTGGTTATTACACAGAGTTCCACAGTCAGAACCTGGGAAATATACTATCCAGTCCATATTTTATTTTAGAACTTGGATCTGCTTTCATTTATATTTATGCTTGTTTTATTTCTCTCCATGAGGCTTTATTCTGTACAGTAGTCCCACATTACCTTCTTTGACATGGAAACTAACTACTATCTCATAAAATAATAGATATATAATCAACAAGTCCTCATCATAGAATATATAATCATGTTTTTCTGAAAATAGAAATTTATGATACATCTGTTCCATTTTGTTGTTATTGTCATGGGGACATTATGGCTTCACTTATGTTTTCTTACAGCATAGACTAAGGTTGAAATATAAATTTATTAAGTTTTTATAATTCAGAAGAACTTATTTTTTTAAAAAAAATTAATGAACTAAAATCACTTTTAGCCATTTTGATGCCTGAACATGTAATGTGTTTACTAGTTAGTCAGAGGGAGCAGGTTTTCCCCTGGTAGAGTTATTCTCTGAAGAAAACCATTCTTGTTAAACTCCAAAAGCACATTTTCATTAAATACAAAACTGCATCAGATTAGGGAAGCAGCCAGGTGACAGAAAAGGCTTTTGATAAATGGGGGTGTGTTCAAAATGTTTTATCTGTACCGAGGATCCAGATTCATTTCACGGTGTGTCTTTCAACAATTAATGTGACAGATGGCCTCAAACAGCCTTGGAATTCTGATTGTTTGTGAATCTGGCTTCATAGGCTTGGCAGTGGCTTGGGGAGGTTGAAGTGTCAACCTATCTACCAGCTGTTTGCACTTGCTTCCAGAGTTGACTGGAAACAGCTGAGGTTCTAAGAGTACTTCTTTAGCCTTGAGGTAGAAGCATCTCAGTTGGAATCTTCAATAGTGAGGCATTCTTTGGAGGGACAGAGATGGGGGGCTGTGTGTAGAATGGAGGATTCTCTGGCCAATCTGTCTGTCATCAAAGCCACTGACCTTAAACTTAGTCTTTTCCATTTGCTTTAAACATGAAATTGTCAAAGGCTAATACATGTGAAAGAATGTGAGTGATTTTCAAAATACAAAAATCAGTAGTCTTTCTATACATTAGTAATAAAGTTTTTGATGAAGAAAGCAAGGGAAAATTTCCATTCACAACCACTTAAAAAATACCCAGGACTAAAACTATACTAGGAGAAGTTAAAGATCCTTACCATGAAAACTCTGAAATAATGAGGAAGGAAACTGAAGAAGATATTAGAAGGTGGAAAATATTCAGATTGGTGGAATTAGTATCCTTAAAATGGTCATAATACAGGGAGAGATCTAAGACCCTATGTAAGCTCCATCAGAATTTCAATTATGCTCTTCACAGAGCTGTAGAAGCAAATGTTTTGTTGGTTTGTTTGGTTTTGTTTTTTTTTGAGACATGGTTTCTCTGTGTAGCTCTGGCTCTCCTAGAACTCACTTTGTAGATCAGACTGTCCTGGAATGCACAGAGACCTACCGGCCTCTGCCTCCTAAAGCAAAATATTTATGCCCACAGATTGGAGCTGCTTTCAGCTGCTGTGGTAACTACAGGGGCTCATACCAGGTCAAAATGAGGACAGCACATGATTGTTGAATATTCAGCCATAAGAAAGCATCTTTGTGTACTCTCCAAAGCAAAGGGAACACTAAGGAAGAGGTAGACAGGAGGATTTTAAGAGCTGGAAGATATGATGAAGTATTGAGCAATGTTGACCTCTACGCATGGTATGGCTATTGCATCCTTGAGTGACAGCAGCTATGATTACTTGCTGAAGATTGAAACTGTCTACATCATACCATGGAAGTGGTTCATGAGGGTTCATGAGGCCACACCTCTCTCTACAAATCAAGAAGCAGTTTAATGATTGTTGGGGTAAGGAGAAACATTTTTCTTCAGAGGTTTGACCACTAACTAGTGAGATGCCTGTGTTCCAGTAAGCAACTCTCATAAAACTCATCGGGTACTCCCAAACCAGAGAAAACCTCTGACACCAAGTGACTAATGGACTAAGCAAACAAACAAACAAACAAAAATACCACAAGAAGTGGGGCGAGTTGGGAAGGAGAAGAGGACCAGTGAGAAGGGAAGAGGGCAAGAGAGGGTAACAGGAAATGAGTGTGATAAAAATACATCATGTACATTATAAAACAGCTCATTGAAGCCTGTTACTATGCAGTTATGTATAACATATGCTAATAAAAGCAAAGACTCCTAAATAGGGAAAGCGATACTAAAGAGCAGTGTTGGAGGTATCACAATTCCCAATCTTAAATTATACTAAAGAGCCATAGTAACAAAATAATCATGCTAGACCTATGCAGTACAAAGTAGAACCCAGAAATAAACACAAACAGATATAGCTACCTCATTTTCAAAAAAAGTTTTCAGTATCATATATTGGAAAAAACACAAGCTCTTCAACAAATGATGCTAAGAAAACTGGATTTCTACACACTGAACGATGAAGCTGGAGTCATGTCTCTCACTCCTTACAAAAAAAGAGCATCAAATGGATCAAACATAGATCTTAACATAGGGCCTGAAATTTTGAAACTGCTGGTGGAAAATACAGGCAGTGTATTTCAAGATACAGGTATAGGAAAGCTCATTTTAGAAAGGGATCCAACAAAACAGGACATAATTCTGAGAACTGACCAATATGATTGCATGAAGCCAAGCAGCTTCTGCAAAGCATGCTACATGGAAAGGAAAAAATCTGCTCTAACCATACATCAGACAGGAGATCAGTGCTGAGAATACACAGAGAACTGCAAAAATTAAACATTGGTGCTCCCTACAAATCATTCAAGTTGGAAAATGGGCTAATAAACTGAACTGACAGTTCTGAAAAGAAGAAATAAATAAAAGTAGGCAATAACTGTTTGGAAATGTGCTCAATACTCTTAACCATCAGAGAAAGCAAATTATAACTGTTTTGACATTGCATCTCATCTCTAGAAAACAAGATAAAACACTGGTGGGGATGCAGGGAAATAATAAGATTCCTTAGACATTGCTGGTAGAAATGGAGTCTGCTACTGCTACTATGGAAGTCAGTGTGGGGGTCCCTTCGAAACCAAAAATAGAACTACCATGTGACCCAGCTGTATCTCTTCTAGTTATTCACCCAAAGGACTCAAACAGGCAGCAGAAATACTTGCACAACTGTGTTTATCGCTGCTTAAATTGTGGGACCAGCCTATACACCTATCCACAGATGAGTAGATAAAGAGTAAGTGAATAAAGAAAATTGAAATCAAGGCATTTTCAGGAAAGTTGTTGGAATAGGACAGCATGCTGTGCAAGATAAACCAGACTCATCATGTTTTATCATATATGTGGTATTGTGGAGTCTAGATTTAAGTTTGTATACGTGCACACGCGTGTATGTGTGCATGCGTGCATGTGTGTGTGTGTGTGTGTGTGTGTGTGTGTGTGTGTGTGTGTGTGTGTCACGTGAAATAGAAATGGGACCAGAGTGAAAAGATATCTTAAAGGAAGGGAAAATGGGATAATGGAATCCCTGTGATGTGAAAGCATAAAGGATGAGTATTTGTGGAGGAAGAAGGGAACCAGAAAATGGGGTAAAGGTCATTGTGGAGGGAGGTGAATAAACAATGTATAAAGACATAAAAATGCCACAGCAAACCCATTTCTTTGTATGCTAACAAAGGATGCTAGTGAAGCTTGAAAAGAGGAGTGGTGTTGGAGGTTTGGCCTTTGTGTGTGACTGGCTGTTGAGTGATGGCGGGTCTGCTCTCAGGCTATTTGCATCTCTGCTCTAGGACCTATGGTAGTATCTGGGCAACTTTTGCCTTGGTAAAGCTTGGAGGCTGATATGATGAGCACTTTGTGAGTGAAGACCAGAGATTCTGGCTTTAGAGCCTTCATTTCCCAGGACAGACCCCAAAATCAGCAGACTGATAAGAGTCCCATGTGACAGCAAAGCCCTGATTGAGAATTAAGGGTGTGTGTATTTGCACATCTGAGCTAAATGAACATGAGTTTAGGATATAACAACACTTAAATTTCCAATTACATGATGTTGTCATGTTTGAACAACAACAAAAAAATCTCAGAAAACAAGTTTCAGAAATGGGATTTAAAAGGGAAGAAACAAGGGTAAAAACACCAGCACTTTCTATAATGGTAAAGGAAAATTCCAGGAAATAAGGACAAAGTGAAATCTATGGGGAAACCTGATTGAGTTGTTGGTCACATCTGGGTCCTTGGCGGAAATGATCTGTATGGTTGTTCCGATCGTCACATCCTCAGGCACCTCCACAAAATAAAAGCCAGGTTCAAACACAGGGGCCTCATCCACATCCTCCACACTGATGTGCACTGTTGTCGTGTCCTGAAATGGACCAAGGTTCAGAAAACGCATCTCTAGGTGAGGGTTGGCTCCTTCCACCTTCAGAGTGTAGCTTTTCTTGCTTTCAAAACTCAGGGGCTGAAAGGCAATGAGGAAAAATGGTCAGCAGGTAGCATGCATGTAATCCTGGGGATTAATTGACAACCCCCAAATTCATTGAAATGGAAAAAAGAGAAACAAAGTAAAAATGGGGGACACTTTGTCTTGTTCTGAAGTTCTTGGTGACAACATCAGATTAAAAAGGTTAAAAAGGAAGGAATATGTCTGGTAAGCTCAATTTTCACTAGTTTAACTTTACTCAACATGGTCTGGAAAGAAAGTTTGGGGAACTTCCTTTGTCCCATCTAATTTTAAAAAGAAAATTTTGTTTCCTGAGATCCCTTCTGTCCCAGGTGCACAAGATGGCTGCTGGTGGCCCTTTTGTTCAGAGGTGTTTCTCCCTTGGAAAGATGTTGGGCGATTAAGACCGAGCTTGTGTTCTGTCCTAGGATGTGCATGTGATTAGGCTTTTGATTTTTCTGTTTTCTTCTTATGTTTTTTCTTTTTTGAGGTGAATTGTTTTGGGGGAGAAACAGGGCTAGTGAGGGAGGAGGAGGGATGAGAGAGAGTGGTGGCGGAATGAGTATGAGCAAGATAAAATGACATGGAAATGCACAAAAATTTCTTAGTGAAACCCATCATTTTGTATGCTAGCTAAAAATTAGTAGATTTTTTTTTTGACTTCAAAGCGACAGTGATTCTTTCTAAGGAAATGTGTTGCGTGCCTCACAAGCATTCTCATCACACTATGCCATATCAACTTTTGTATTTGGTTTATCATAGATGTTCCCGTTTAAACTTCACTTTAAAAGCCTGTCCGACATCTAACTTTGAATCCAGAAAGCTCAGAAGACAGGACTAAGGTGATTTGGTTACATAGTGTTAGTTAAGATGCTGGCCCAAATGTGATCTGACCCAAAATCCTTTGACCAGGGTTCAGTGTTAAGAAATCAGTTTTATCTGTTATGATTCCATATTATCAAATATAAAATTGGGAGAGAAGAGAGATGGTTCAGTGGTTAAGAGTGATTGCTGCCTTCCAGAGGACCCACGTTCTGGTCATAGCACCCATGTAGGGAGGGTCATTTTTTTGTTACAAAATTTCGAGGTCAAAAAGCAAAGACTGGATAGGTTTTTATTCCGCCAGTGTGTAGCAAGGCCAAAGACCCAAAATGTAGTAAAAAAGTCTTATTGCATTAAGTAGTGACACAAGCCCTCTTTTTATGTGTTAGCATTTACATGATGGCATGTAAGGGTTTGGTGTTAATATCTTTTCCTGGGGTATAGGTTCTCATTGTGTCTTATACTTTCAGAGTACAGTTGTTTTCTTATCAATGTTACATCATAACTGCCAGGTGCTTAGCCAATGATGAGCTCTGTTGTTAGTGCCCATGCAAACCATATGCAGTGACAGGCATTAGCACTGCGTGCGAGTCTGGATCTGCACAGGCTTGATGCTGCAGACACTGGAGTTTGCTGCTCAGGAAAATAAAGGGTACTGAAGCACCAGCAGGGAGTGGACCTGATACAGGTGAGGCAAATATGTCCAACTGTGTCTTGAAGAGCTCTTCAGATAATTACAAGTACAGCTCTGCATAACATACAGTTGGAACTTTGTAAAGGGTATATGAAATAGTGATGACAATTGTAATCCATAGCCTATTAAAATTTGAGAAATATAGAATTTATATGTTTTGTGACCTGCCTCAGAGGAGAAAGGACTCTCTACAATTACTTATTTTTTTGCTGGCAGATGGAAGCTAAGCTGAAGACTAGAAAATGGCACAAGATCATGCTACCACAGAACAAAGAACACTCTGAAAATTACATATTTCAAGCATTTAAGAGACTGAAAATCAATTGACTGATTACTTAAAAGCAAAATGACACATGTCCTGTGTAGCAATCAGCATGGTTGTATGAAGACCCAATTCTTTCAATTCAGCTTAATTTTTTTTGAAAAAAAAATATGTGCTTTTTAGACAAATAATAGACCTAAGGGAAATAAATCAAAAGCACAACTTTTGTTTCAATTTTATATGACATTATTAATGACAAAGGAAGATGATGGGTGTAGATTAGACATCTGGGAGTTGTTCCAGACATATGGATTTAACAGTCAATAGCCTTTAAAGTGTTTACTATATGTGACCAGTCCATCGATCCAACTTATTGGTCTTTGCTCTTAATTATATTGTCTGGCAGCTCATATGTTCAGAAAAAGAATTTAAACAGCCTAAGAAAAATTTATGTAGGTTTTGATTGAACATGGATTCTGTTTGGATAATGACATTGAGAGACATGGTTCTGGCTTGCAATGCCCAATCTTTTCCTGATAAGGGAGGTAAAGAAAAAGACATTTTTAGTTTATTCATATTGTATCATTAATAGATGTACTGTTTTATGATTAATTTTTTGGATATGTGACTTTTGCATTCAAGAAAAAAATTATTTAAATCTTTGGGCATTTTTTTGTGGTTAGTGTTATGTCATGAGTTGAAACAAAATACATAGTAGGAAGACATTTTTAACCCTTTCCCATGTAACAAATTGGGATTGTTTTTAGTCACTCTGTAAAATTAGCATATATTGTTAATTTTTAAAAATAGTAAATTATAATGTTTCAATTATATAAATGAGTTTGAGGATTCTTAAGTCAGTCTTAGCATTTTATACTGTTTCAAGGCATTGTGTGCTGGACATGAAGATTTCTGGTTGGAGGAATTTGCTTATGTCTCTTTGTTTACTATGCTGTATTTTTGCTGTGACCCTGACTTGGCTGTCTTTGGATCAGGTAGGAGGTTTCTGGAGTTCAGGCCTTTGGACATTTGGTGTTGATTTGTGAGTGAAGAGGTAGGAAGGGATTCCAGTTTAGTGACTACCTAAGGTCCTAGGGTCTCACCAGCCACACATGCTGCTGTTTGGGTATTGTCCCAGGCAGGTGGAGGGTAGTGTTGAGGACAAGGGAGGTTACTACCACAGGCCCCCTATGTGGCAGCTTGGATAAGGTCTCTGTGTAGGGCTAAGGAGATCTTACCAAGAACAAATTGGGTGTGTGGCTTCTCAAGGAAAGTCCCCGGGCAGGTGGCATGTCGAGTGGCCAGTGGCTCTGTGAGTGGCTGCTTGGGAAGGGTCATGGGGTGCAGTAGTGGGTAGATTGAGGAGTCTTACCATGTGCACTAGCTGTGAGAAACTGCTTGGGCAAGGGCACCAGAAAGGCAGCAGGTTAAGATTTTGTTTAGAAAAGAAATCAATGTTTTATAAATTAATGTTTTAAATTAGATATTAATTTGTAAGGCATCAGATTCGATTTATTTCTGTGTGTAGTATGCATGCATATGGGTAGGCATGTTTATGTGCGTATGAAGGCATGTTCCTTTAATTACTCTGTTCTATATTTAGTAAGGCAAGGTCTCTCACTGAACATGGATCCCCAGGTTCCTGTGTCTTTTTAAAATCCTGTGGTGGGATTAAACATAGACCGCCACAACTGCCCACATTTTAAGGTGGTTCTGGGGATCTCTGGTCTTCATGCTTTATCCACTGATCCAGCTCCTTATGCCATAAATTCAGTTTTACAAAAGTTCAATCTGGGTTAGGAGATGGCTCAGCAACAACAGTACTTGCTATACAAGGGTGAAGGCCTGAGTTGGATCCCACGTACCCATGTAAAAGCCAAGTCAATTGCATGTCTCTATCCCTGTGCTAAGGAAACAAAGATAGGAGGATTTTCAGGGCTCACTAATCAACCTCTTTCTTCCACACACATCTTCACAAATGCGCATGTGCATAAACACATGTCCCACGTACATACATATGTTTCACATACAAGAATAAAAGAAAATTAAAATAGGAAAAGTTTACCTTCCATTCATTAAATTGATCTGTATGCTCTTTCTGGCATATAGAGAATAGACATTTCCCTTTAGGGAACTTGGTGCTTTGAGATGGAAAAAAGATGTTTTATGTTTGATAAAACTTTCCCAAGTTTCATTTGCATGTATGGGGCTTCAAAAAGCAATTAAAAATGCTATATTTTATTTATTGATTCATAATAAGATTATAGCTCGTTTAGCTATTTATGGTAAACTGATGCAAAGATGTGAGACTCAAATATTGATTAAGTCATTAACAACATTAGAGCATCAAGCTATAGCAGTTTTAAGTGGCTAAGTAGAAGTGGCTTATTGCAATACATTTTTAATAACCTTTTCTATAAAATAATGCCACAGCCAGTGTTCTTGCATGTAAGCCCAAGCAATAAGAGGCATTTATTAAGCTAATGAGGAAGAGTTATTTTAAATTCGCATGCGTGAGTGTGCGTGTGCGCATGTGTGTGTGTGTGTGTGTGATGTGATTCGTCTGAATATGGCTTTACTCATGCCATGTTGCAGTGTGGAGGTTAAGAGGAAAACTTTTGGGAGCTGACTGTCTTCTAGCAATGTGGGCTCTAGGTTGTCAGACTTTTGTGGAAATTCCTTTTACCTGCTGAGCCATCTCATTAGTTCAGGAAAGAGACTTTATTAGGGGACTTAAAATAAAACATATCTTAATATATAACCACCCTTCACTAGCATTTTATGTGCAAAGTACACTTGAAAATGATTTGGAAAAGGAAACTGGATTACCTTCTTCACAGTTATGATGCCAACTTGGAAATTTGGATCTGTATTAATATCAAAAGTGTCTGCACCATCTCCATCCACAATAGTATATTTCATCTCTGCATTGATCCCTTCATCCAAGTCCTTGGCAAACACTCTTCCCACAGTGGAGCTAATTGGAGCTGATTCCAGCACACTCATCTGATAATGTTCTGTGAAGAAAGCAGGAACATACATTCTTGATAATCTGCCACTAAAAACATGTCTTGTTATCACATGGTATCAGGCATGCCATGCAAAACTTTTTATGTGTTTCATAAATCAAAGCTAAAGCAGCCCTCCGGCCTATGGACTGTGCTAAATGTTAATAAGGAGGAGTCTAACAGTTCTACTGAGCCCAAGATTAAGACAGGGTAATGGTGGAATGCTCATTGTGTCATTCTTCATTCAGTGCAGGAAAAAGCACATTTCTCCTTTGTTTTTAGTATGCCACATGAATGGTGACATTTCTCCAAATGTCATGTTTTTCCTGGGAAGCATGGGATCACAAAGCACATTTATTCTATCAAATTTCAAATATCCTAATTTTCATTTATGTCCTGGCCTGTGTGCTGTGGTCCCATCCCTGTGGCCAATGGCCCAGAGTGGATGGAGGCCAACAAGCATAGAGGAGAAACAGAGAGAAAGCCCTTTGAGCTCCCCATGTGGTCCATCAGCATGATTTTCATAGCTGAGACTATCTGGATGCCTCTGCATGGGCATTTTGTTCTAGTTCTTAAGCCAAACACCCAAGCCAGATCCCGCACATAGAAGAATCTCAGTGTTGGCAATGTCTTCCTTTTTGATTTGATGCTCTGACTCATAATTAATCTTTTTTGTTGGTTTATTTGTTTTCACCTCTGTGAAGTTGTGTATTTGAGAACTAACAATTTTTAGGACTCATCTTTTTGATATCCTTGCTTTATTAGTCACAGGCTGGCTGACTAACAAAAATCACACACATTTTCAGTATGATCGTGGTCTCATTTTAAATTAATCAATTTGTATGTGTATGTGTGTGTGACTGCATGAATTTGTGTGCATAATGTGCATTCAGAGTCTTGAAGGGTACAGAGGACATCAGATCCCTTGGAGCTGGAGTTACAGTGGTGGGTTGTGAGTGGCTTGATGTGGTATTAGGACCTGAGCCTGGGTTTTCTGCAAGAACAGGAAGCACACTTAACTATTGGGCCATCTCAATAGCCCTTTTTTTTTTAAATTATACATTGTAAACTATAAGGAAGCCTGAGTGAAACCCAGGAGATGCTATCTCAGCAGGATTGTGGGAGACTGACAGCTTACTGTACTCTATGTTCGACAGAGAAGAAGCAATGTTTGTGCCTTATAAGTATGAGCCATGGACTCTGTACTGTGCCATGCTAAGTTCTCAATGGATTACTCTTTTCCCCAAAAAAATTTAAGAAAAATGTGCATCTACCTATAATCTTTTCCACAGAAGGAAAGCTGTGCTATAAGTTTGAGCACAGTTATAATTTTAGCATGTGTTAGAATTTCTACATGGTATTAGAAATCATATCTTGAGATCGTAGTATTATTTTACATATAGTTTAGTTAAAGGCGATTAAGCTTGTTCAACAAAAAGAGAAGGCACGCCATTTTGTCAGTATCCCACAGCTAGTTATGAAAACATTTGTGAAAAAGAAGCTGAATGGAATTTCTGCTATAGGGAATAGAAAGAATAGTAGAGTAGAAACATTTAAGTCAAGGTGAGATTAAGGAAAAATGGAATCATTCAAATTTAGCTATTACAAGTAAATGGAGAAATATTTAAAGATGAGTTAATTTCTTTTGAAAAGTGCAAAAGTACTATATTGTAGTGGAAACAGGGTTAATGGGTGAATGTTTAGAAACATAAATTATTTCATATGGTTCCATTCTGTCTTCTATGAAATACATTCCATATTTTATTTCATCCTAAGTTTTGATTATCACTAAATTTGAAACAGAGACTACTCAAGGTGGATGTGTTAGAATGGTGTTAGCATTTTGATTTGGGGTAAGACTAAAGGCCCCGTCATTGTATTGTGTCACATTCTAGACAAACTTCCATATTTGCAGGGACATGAGACTTGACTACAAGTGTTCAGATCTCTAAATGTTTGAGCTTTGGGATACCTTGGATGTTCTGCTTCTCCATCCACCTTAGTCAGGGATATCCATTTAGTGTCAAATTTGAAAAGTCCAGTAATTCAAAATATTCAGCTACCCACAGTGTTCATATAGTGTGCACAACATTTGACATTTGTGAACTAAAATGGAACCCAGGATCAGTAAAGTTACACCAATCACTCCGTAGGGAAGTTCACAACTATTTCTTGATGTATGGCATCCTGATTGGTGGACTAGTAGCTTAATAACTTCATCACTTTAATTGCTTGTAAAATACTTGCCTGATATTCTGCCATTTTTGTTTCATAAATGGCCATGGTGACTTTGTGTATACCAGTTGCACATGACTATTTGAATCTTCTTTATGTGATTGAAATTAAAAAAAAAAGTCATTTTGATCTGCCTAGTTCAAAATGCAAGCTATTCAGCTAATAGTCTGGCTTCATTCTGCTTATACTTTAGGTTTGTGTGTGTGTGTGTGTGTGTGTGCTCACACGTGCACTCTTGTGTGCATGTGTGTATACTTGCACGTAGACGCCAGAAGTAAACTGTATGTGTTGTTCCTTAGGTGCCTTTCACCATGTTTTGAGAGAGGGCTTCTCACTTTTCTGGAACTTGCTAGTTATGTTTAGAATGTGAGCAGGGAGTCCCAGGGATCCACTCTTTTCTATCATCCCAGCATGGGATTACAAATGAGTACCAGCATCCCTGGCATGTAGTTACCCCTCAGCTCTGTTTTCATTTCTGTTTGTTTCCCCTTTTCCTGGGTAAGTGTTCAACCTGGAATTGTACCTGCTGTCTTGACTCCTCACTTTTCAAAGTCACATCTCCACTCCTTAAGGACATTCAACCTGATTGTTTTGTTGTCACTTCATATTCAGATCTGAATTTGTCTTCCCCTGCCTGCCACCAGTTCCATTATGCATCCTCTTTTCTGTCAGCAGTTCAGCCCTGCTCCCTGCACCCAGATTAAAATATGTTGTCAGCTGTGGTCCCTCTAGCCAGGAGATTGAGAGTCAAGAGTCCATGATTTTTATTTATTCCTGCTCCCCCCCTCTCTCTCTCTCTCTCTCTCTCTCTCTCTCTCTCTATATATATATATATATATATATATATATATATATATACACACACACACACACATATATATATCTTATGGTATATATGTATATATTCTTATTGCATTCAACTTCCAACTCATATGACCTCTGATGTGGCAAAGATTTTGTTGGCTTTGCACAGGACTGTATATTGCATCCCTAGATAGTATCTCAAATTGATAGTGCTTGAATGAATATGGCTTCTTTATCTTGGCATGCTCCCTTTTCTGCCAGTGCAAATCCTTTCTATTCTTCAGTTTTCTGTTTAAGTCTCATTAAGTGAAAACTTCTTTCATTTTTACTTGTTGAGACCAAGAAGAAAACTCACATGCAATTTCACAAACCATTCCATGATACGTTACTTAGTCTTTCCAAGGTGTAGCATGAACCAACATAGGAATCTATTTAATTCTCACAATTTATGAACTTCCAGGTGGCACACCAAACACTTTTCCTCTATGAGCAGGACATGTGCTCCTTGGGTGGATTTGAAGCTTGAGAGGCAGGGGTTCGTACCTTGTGTCCCATGCCTGGTGTCCTTATAGGTTATGTACTACTTGGCACCTACTTGTATATTGCTTGGTTAATGTGTTCAGATGGTGGCCTGTCTGTTCAGCTACAGATGTGACTGTTTCAGGAAACGTGTTCTGGACTCTTTCCTATTCCAAAAATTATCTTCAATGAGGACTTGATGGAGAGTTAGTGGTTAAAAACAAATTTTACGCATTATGGTGATTCATGGCCCATGAAAGTTTAACCCTATCTGACAAATATTATTCATAGTATTCAACTTTGTACAGGTGGGCAATGGGGCCACCAGGTTAAAAAAACGGGGGGAAAGTCTAAAAAGATTTAACAGGAATGAAATAGTGAAAATAAAAGGGTCGAGAAGCATTGATTCAGTGCTGAGAAGATGGCTGTAACACAAGAAGGTATAAGTAAATGATTTTTAATACAATCTGACCTTACATCTGAACCTCAGTAAGGGTGGTCCCTCTGCTCTGAGAGGTGTGTTGTGGTTGGTACTTACTCTGGGGAAAGCGGGGTGGGTTATCATTGACATCTGAGAGGGTGACGTTGACTGTTGTGGTCCCAGCTAATCCTCCAAGCTGTCCTCCCATGTCCTTGGCTTGGATAATTACTTCATAGTATTCTTTGGCTTCTCTGTCCATGTTCATGAGTGCTGTTCTGATTACACCTGCAGGATAGGAATTGTTTATGAAAAGCAAAACCACAAAGCTAGTTTTCTGAGGATTTGTCTGTAATTGTCTCCCTTGTGTATTGTTAATATCTAACACCGAGATGCACATCGCCTGTGTTTATTAAACTTGTGGTTAAAATCCCATCTTCAGGAAGGCACTGTGTGAAACAAAGGGCCAAGAAATAGGCACCCATCAGGAAGAGCCCAGAGGCTGCGTCCTTGGCAACATTGCTGAGACCGAACAGGAGGGGGCAGCAGTGGTTTTCTTATGGACTCCAGGATGTGTAGTCTATGGCGATTGTAGACTGCTCTGTCTTTTTACCTGGGCTTTGAGTACAGAAAAGAAAGCTTTGTATGTCTACAAATCTGTAACTTTAGGTAATTCCCCTGCTCCTTCAGCCTTCAGCACTAACGCCCTTGCAGTGTGAATGACTCTTTAGACACTGGCTCCTAGTATGGTTTCCCTGCTTCCCTATACCTGGAAGTAGGGATGAGACTTGATTAGACTCCCCTTTTGTTTACATTCTCTGCTTTGTTTGCTTCTGCTTACTTCTGTGCCTTACTGAGTTCCTTAAGTACAGAGGGTCAGAGAGACTCGATGTGTATTGCTTATTTTTACTGTGCACAAAAAATTAACTTCCTCATACAGTTCTGAGTAGAAGCAGCTTGGAGGGTGTGGTATCCAGATTTCATCTAAGAAGAGGGGTCTAAAGGAGATTCATAGTAATGTAGATTCTGATCTCCTTTTTTAAACCTTCAGCTTAGAAAATCTGGCTTTCATATACTTGAGGGGAAGGTTAAAGGCTTGTTGTTACAGGTTCTGGTTAAACTGGCATTTTGCATGGAAACTCAAGCATGTGGGGACAGCACCCACCCTCCCTGAGTTTCCTCCTATGATGTATGTACCAAGTCACCGATACCATTCTAAAATGAAATGTGCAGCATTTTCTTCTTGTAAATGCCTCTTGGCCAAAGCAATGACAATCTTTTCATGTATTTTTGACCTTAACACTATAGATGGCCCTCATGGGCATTGTCAGAATAATGTAAAGTCCTTCAGAGGATACGAAGGACATGCGACCCTGTTCCTGCCTGTTGTTTTCTTCCCTGCAGGCAACCCTTCATTCTTCCTCCTTCCCCCACCCCCGAAAGGGGGATTATTGAAGCTTCTGTTTTATTGACTTCTCTAACTGTGATCTTTTCTCTTTCCTCCCACTAATTTATACTCTCTCACTTTCTACCTTTATGATACCATTTTCCAAATGCCTGGCTACCTTGAGGATAGACAGGAAAAAAATTCTCTCAGGTTAGTAATGATAGAGATGTATTTCTTTTCTTTCAAATAAAAAGGTGACTTTGACTGTTCCTCAGTGACTTTACCTTTGTGATTGTTTCTTTGCTCAAGTTCCTTGTCTTAGGGCTTTTTTCCCTGTGTAAAGTGGGAGCAGTAATCCTTCCTATATATTTTCCTTGAGAGGTTAAAAATGGTAATGTGTGTGAAAGTGCTTAGAGGAGGAGAGATGCTGGCACAAATGGAAGGCAACAATGATACAGTGGTTACTCTGCCCAATACAGGGACTAAAGTGGTTTCCCTTGGCGGGATAAAGCACATGAATCCTGTAGCCAAAGCCGGCGGAAACAAGCAAAGCCGCCAGGCTCTGCAGTCTCTCCTTTTCTGCCTTGTTACTTCTTATCAGTTTTGTTCTCCTTGCCAACTACCCCCAGCTGCCATCCCCTCTGGCCTTGCCTTTTGCTTAACAAGGGTTGGCTCAGCAGAGATAACATCAGGGACATATCAGTGATCACAGGAACTGGTTAGCACTTAGCTTCCTACTTTCCTCATCTGAATGAATCCTGATGGTCAGCTGAAGGCTCTGAGATTCTAGCTTTAGAAGAAGCCCAGGTGATGGGGCAAACTTCTTTGGTCTTGCTGGAGTTATAGAAGACCTTAAACCTAAACATATATAGACATGGGAGTTTGGGGGAGGTAGTGAGGAGACTTCTCTGTAGGTAGGTCTTTCGTGTTTCTCAGCAATCCATGCACACACACACACACTGTCTCATGCCCCTGACAGTTATAATGAGCTCTCCCAATCCTACACATTGTGACAGTCTTCTCTGTGTAATACTATAGAGTCTTTGAAAAGAAGAGTTGGGTCCGCCCTAAGTAGGAAACACGAGGATTATTGAATAAGCAATCACCTCTGAGTTGACTCTTGCACTATGTACCTGTTTTGGAGTCCACAGAAAAATATGGCTGGCCCTGGAGAATGCTGTACACGACTCGGGCACTGTTGCCATAGGTTGGATCATCAGCATCTGTGGCTGTCACTTGGATAACAGAGGTACCTGAGGGAGAGAAGTGGAAGAAATCTGTTCAAGCCCAGTTATAAAAAGCCAGTATAATCCTTATCGGTCAGCCTTAAAACATTTTGCAGATGTTATGCTTGCTTCTCTGGGAGAGTTCCCTTTCTAGATCATCTTCTATAACGTCTATCTTGTTATAAAATGAGGATGACAGTTATTTGTGTTTAAGGTTCTAGTAACCAGTGAAAGCAACACTGCCTATGTGGTCTTCTCTGTTCATTGGTAACAGCCGCTGTTTACCTTAAACAATCAGATAGGATCTATCACCCATCTAGTTCATAGTTTATTCTTAAGTAATCATGATTCGAAGATGCTGGAAGATTTATTATTGCTTAATGTGGCTGTTTCCAATATCTACAAAGCTTCCTACATGCTGAAGGAGTGGTAATCATTTTGGTTTCATTTTTATGATTTCTGCACATTTTCTTCTCTGTGTACATAGTAGGATCTCCTACAATGCATCTACTGTTTGTAAGAAATCAGAGTATCCCCACCTTACCTACTGGAGACATTTCTGGCACAGTGGCAAGGTAAGGTCCATCCAGAAACTTGGGCTCATTGTCATTGATATCTTGGATTTTGATGATGAACTCTGACTCTGGCTCCATTGGCCGGCCTGTCCGCCTATCTAGGGCTTGAGCCCTTAAAGTATATTGGGCTCTTTCCTCCCGGTCCAGCCTCTGAATGGCATGGATGTCTCCAGTAGTGTCGTCAATAGTAAACACGATGCCTGCTCCTTCTCCTGAAAGGATGTATTTGATGGATCCATCTCCCCTGTCCATATCTGAGTGAAGCTGGGGACAAAAGCACTGAAATGTCATTATGGATTTGCACAGGTATTGGGAATAAATTTTCTTTACTTTTGTACGGATAAGACCTCCCTTTACATAGGAATGTTCTTTCTACCTCAGTGTTTAGAAAATCTTTCTGTAAAGAGTTAACTAACAGGAATAGGTTAACTTCTGGAATGCCATAAATTTTATGAAAGTTCAAATTGGCTTAAAAGATGATGAAGTGACTCATGACACCACTAAGACCAAGGACCTCAAGATGCCTGATGATTTACATTTCATTCCTGGGACCCCATAATGAAAGGAGAGAACAGACTTCTAAAAAGTGTCCTTTGCCTTCTACACATGTGCCCATATATGTAAACACACACACACACACACACACACACACACACTAAACTTATTGGTAAAGGCCTTTATATATAGGAAGTAGAATGTGACTTTCATAGACTCCTGCAAAGCTTCAAGTTCTGAGACCCCCCTACCTCCTTGTTTCCTAGTTAGGACTGTGTTGGTTTATGTTTCAGGTATCAAGTGAGCTTTAAGTGCTGATTGTGTGTGTGTGTGTGTGTGTGTGTGTGTGTGTGTGTGTGTGTGTGTGTTACAACAGTGTTCCTCTTTTGGTAGGACTCATTCTTGAATTTAATTCAGTCACTACAATTCATGTGTGGATGGTTGCACTAGGTACTTGCTTCTCTGCTCATCTGACTGTATTTTTCTCAATTTAAAAAAATTATTTTATTTTTATGTGTATGTGTGTTTTGCCTATGTCTGTGTCTCTGCACTGCTTATATGCCTGCAAATACCAGAAAAGAGCATCTGATATACTAGGACTGATATTACAGGTGGCTGGGAGCTACTGTGTGTACTAATAATCAAACCAGTGACTTTTGGAAGAGCAGCTGGTGTTCTTAACCATTGAGCTGTCTTTCCAGCCCCATCTTCTCATACTCTTTTGTAACGATTTCTCCAAAAACATCTGGGAGCACCATTTTACCTCAGCCTAGAAATATATCTGTCTTTATTATTGTGTATGGACAGCAAGAATGCTGAGAGTTTGTGTTATCCTCTAGGCCTCTCTCAAAAGAATCAGCAAAATCATTAAGTTTGGCAAGCACTGCTAACTCTGCTGCTGCCTAAGTTTCAGCACTTGTATACTTCAGCACCAAAGACTCAATCATAAAGCAGACAACAATTGTTAGGCTTAATGCTGCAAGCCCAATAGATGTGCATATGACCTGTGTCAATTATCAACTAAGTGGCCTTGTCATGAGTAAATATACTGTCTGTAACCCCCAATTTCCTCATATTATAAATGGAGACTAGCATCTATTCTCAGGCTTACTGGGATCATTAGAGATTAATGTATGTAAAGTACAGAGCAATGTTCCTTTCTCATAGTAGGAAAGCTATAAAAGGGGACAATTATGGTGATGACATACCTGCTGAGAGAAAGGGATATTAAAGGGATATTAACATGCCCAGCTCTTATCTGCTCCCTTCAACACTCCAGAAGTAAAACCTTGCTAGAGCTAGAGACCTTGTCATGATGAGGAGCACAATAGCTAGGGCCCCTGAAGCCTTGGAGGGGCCCTGTGCTGCTCCTCTGAGGATTAATGTGGAGGGACACTCAGGGCACACCTGAAAGTATAGTCACAGTCTCCTCAGGCAGGGATGGCTTTAGAGGTTGGAACTGGTTTTGAGCTAACTCAAACTTATTCCTGGCCAAGTCATGCTGCCTAGGGAATGAAAGTGTGTCTTATCTACAATAGGGAAATAAAAGAATAAAATCACCCCCAAAATGCTTTGGATTTCTTTCTGCTCAAAAGTATTCTATATAGAATATGACAGTATCACATTTCTTTATTCCATATACACTATTATCACTAACATCTTCTTTTTATGCAGTTTAAAGAGCAAGGGAAAAAAGCCCAGCACTTATTGTGTAGAAGTAAAAGACATTTACTTTGGAACTGGGCACAAAGAAATAAAGACTATTCCCACTGGAAATATGCTCCCCAGCACCATGGGAGGACAAAGAGAAAAGTTGCAGGAGCTCCTTAAATCATGAGATTAAAAAACTGTACATATGTATATTTACATATATAACTATAAGGCATGTGGCCTTTGGCATGCAATAAAACAGATTAAGTTATGACAAGTAATATTGGTCACAGAGCTTGACACATTAAGTACACTGATACCATCACAGGGCAAATGTAATTGGCTTGCCTTTAGAACAGGCATAATAAACAACATAAAGCAAAGCTCACACTGCTGATGGGCAACCATGCCTCCTGAGGTTGATGAGGCTGGCTAAGGTCTATTGGAGTTGGTGCTGAAGCTCATATCCCTTGTCTACTTCCCTCCATATGAGAAGATATTGAGCAACCTATGTAGACAGTTCTCTGGAGGTCAAGGCTATGCAGTCATCCAGGTATGTGCCCTGGCCTGTAGCAGATTGTACAGGTTCAGGCTAAAGCTTTGGCAGGAACTTTACGTGACCATTACCTTCTTTTAAGGGATAATATTTTTCAGGTTGCTTCTGGGTGTCCTGACTAGCTTTGTTGTCAACTGGACATTCTGAGAAGAATGAACCTCAGTTGAAGAACTGTCTCCATCGGATAACCTATAGGCATATCTCTGGGGACATTGTCTTGATTGCTGACTCTTGCAGGAAGACCCAGCCAACCACTAGTGGTACCACCCCTTGGTGGTGGTGGGCCTGGGCTATATAAGAAAAGTAACTGAACTGGAACTGGAGAACAAGCTTGTAAGCAGCTTTCCTCCATGGCTAATGCCTCTGCTCTTCATTGAGTTTCTGCCTTGACTTCCCACAGTGAAGGATTGGTACCTGGAAGCATAATATGGGATAAATTTTCCTCAGGTGATTTCTTTTGATCATGGTGTTTTATCATAGCAACAGAAAGCAGACTAGAATATAAAGGTGTGGGAGAGGGGCTCCTACAGGGAAGTAGGAAGGACCTTTCATGAACAGGAGACATATTAACTATGAGATGGGCTGACAGAACTGATTTTTGAGGAATATAATTGTATGTCTTCAAGATCTTCTCTGGAGACAAGTCCTCTACCAGTTATTTTAATAACAGTAAAGGATGAGGAGACACTGGGGTATCAGATCTGCAGTGACTCTGGGAAGTGGCCAGGGAATCTTCCAACAGGAGTGACAGGTTAGGGGAAGAAGTTAGGGGTTTCCAGCATCTGAATGTGGGAGGCCCTCTTCAGGCTGGGCCTGAAAGAGAAGAGAGTATTGCTTAGGTATGGTTTTAGGGGCTTGGATGAGCCCTCCTTACTAAGTAAGTCTGGGAACTACCTTCTCTGAAACAGAGAGTTATTTTATTTAGTGCCAGTATTCCTAAGGGGGCCTGATAAGGATGAATGTTTGTAAAAGCCTCCAAGCTAGACCAACTGATGGTAAAATAAAAGAACAAGTCTCATCTCCCTCTAGCCTCCTACATTTTCTTTGGTACAATCCAGCTGGAAAAAGAGAATTCCCAGCTCCATCACAATGTAGATCTTGGACAGGTGACTATGGAGGTGAGGGACACTTTAGGAAACTTAAAGTCAACAAAGAAATGTACATGGATAATTTGAGTTTGTGAGCCACAGAATATCCATTTGGTTGTAAAAATTGCAAAAGAGGACATGCAAAGTTCTTCTCTAAGGCACTTGGAAAAATGGTATTAAAATGTTTTACCTTTATTCATATTTATTCCAGCTAACACTAAGTGAACTTCAGTTACAGCACTTAAGTATGTTCTGGGAAGACATCTTTCCTCTAGAAATCTTCTAGACAGATAAATGGATATCTCTTATACCTACAAATCCAGCCCTTAAGTTATTAACCAGTATAGGAATGAATGCTGGGAAGTACATGACAAAAAAAAAAATACTCAATTGATTTAGGATTTTGGGAACAGATGTTTCTCAGAGCCTTTGGCAGTGAAGTTTCTGCGTGTTCAGTGATATTCTAGAAAGGCACTGAGTGATTCTAATTGTTGTTAGACAGTGGCCCTGTAATCCTTAGCCTCTGCATGACTAGTCACTACAGGTCCCCTGCCCAAGTGTATCTGTCCGTACCCCTCCTTGTATGTGTTAATATAATGGAGCTTTCCCTGGACACTGCCATAATCCCGGGAAGCCTGGTGGGGATTGTATAAGGCCATACTGATTAAAGCTGATCACTATTGCCATATTCCTTCTTGAAATAAGCAAACACTAGACAGGCTCCCTAAACAGACATTGTCCAGGGCTTTAGGTGACAAGCTGACTCTCTCTGCTGTAAAGATAGCGAAAGATGCTCTTTAAAGTAGAGGAGGAAAGTAGACGGATGAATGTTTAAGCACCTGTGTGCAGAGTGATACAACAGTATGGTGTAAACCCTAGTGTGCTGACTGGGACAGGTGACTTGTGTGGCATGTGAATGTGTCCTGGGGATGTGGGAGCATGCTTACTCTTAGAGGCTATAGCACATTTACATACTGCCCAGCATCAGTGAGTGTTGAGGAAGCAAGTCTTTAGGTTCCTGATACTATTGTACTTGTCCCCTGTTGCCATGGCTAAATTTTAAGTTGCTGGCCAGCTATTTTCAGAGTTCAGGGAAAGGAAACCCATGACTGTGAGGCAAAAGTAAGTGCTATGGAGAGCTGCACTTCACTTATCTCTAGTGAGACCTGGATGGTTAATGGAATCCATTCCCCCAAGCCTAGTTCCTTACGTTACATTTACCTCATAGCCTTTATAATGGTCTGCTTCTTGTGAATGTGGCTGAATGAACTAGGGTAGTCCACTACAATATTAATTGGCATTTTCCTTCTGTACTCTTGTTTTAGACACTTTTGTACTGAGTCTGGGAGGTAATATGGACAAGATTAGAAAATAGCACTCCAATTTCTATCTTCAAATAGAGGCAAGGCAGCCCTAGATTATATTAGTATATATAATAATTACTGAATATTAGTATGTTATTTTCTTAAATGTGTTTTAGTAATAACCACAGATACCTACTGTTTTACAACTGTCAAGGTGTTGGATGTCTTAAGAACTCTGAATAGACTGAAGAAATGTTCATTATATAAGTAATTTTTAGAGTAGACCCTGGGGAATTTGAATGCCCCTTTAGAGAGGTAGCCATTGGATGTACCTGTCAGGACAGTAGCATAAACACACACCAGAGTGTTAAGTGATGGGTAGACGCTAGAAGAAGGCTTCTTGTCCTTGATCTCTGAAAGTGTGAGAGAGTCTGATGAAGAGGATGTTATTGAATCACATGTTGATTCAGAAGGTTGGCATACTGGAGTAGGTGCTTTCAAGGGACAAATTTCCCCAGAGGAATCATTCTCCAGGGAGACTTGGTGGTGCCTACTCAGTTAATCTGACCTTAAGGAGCAGAGAATCATGCTAATGAAGAAACACAGAGAGGAATAAGTGAATCCCAGAGCAACTGGCAAGGAAATACTTCTATCTGTGGTGATTAATTGTACAGAAAGGGTAAAGAAGATGAAGGAGAACCTGAAGGCTGGGGATTTGTAGCAGTATTAAGCATGGCATAGAGGTGCCTCACTCTCTGAATGAATCTGTAACGCTATTGTTACTATTAAGTGCTCAAGTCACAATGAGTAAAGGTACTGTGCTAAGTACTTTATGTGCTTCAGTTTATGGAATCCTTACCATATATACTGTGAGGTGGTTATTTATTTACCCATTCACTATCACTAAACATCTGGTTACCCAGCTTTTGTGTGTCAAGTGACAATTTTAGTGTTGAGGATAAAATGAGAACAGTGAAATTCTTGCTCTCATGGACCATCTAGTCTAGTTAGAAGCTTCAGATACTAAACAAGTAAGTCAAAAATATTGTAGGCTGTGAGAACTGCTGTGAAACAAGCATTGGTAAGAGGCTTAAAAATTATTTGTTATTTCATAAAGATATAGATATAGATATACATATAGATATAGTGCCTGAATAGGTATCAGATCGCCCAGAGCTGGAGTGATGGGTATCCATGAACCACCTAATATGATTCCTAGGAACTGAACTTGGATCCTCTGGGAAGAGCATCCCCCCAGACCTAGGTGATGATAGACTCTTACATAGGGTTCTACCCTAGAGGAGTGCCCAGGAAAGCTTGGGGTCCACAGGAGCACAGGCAGATGAAATGGTACACACTATGGAAGAGTCAAGGGGATTGAATTGGCATTTCACTGTAGGGGTATTATCCATTGACACCTTGTGAATTGCGGGAACTGTGAAAAGCCATGTTGCTAGAACATAAGAACCAAACAGAGAATAGCATGTGCCTGCAGGGACCTCAGAGGCAGGTGGGTCAGCAGGCTACAGGGGAACACTTGTACGGCCTCCTTCCACTTTAATGCAAAGACATGGAAGAGAGTTTAGGTTGAGTGGTGGGTGATGCAATCTGATTGCTTTTTCACAAAGGTCACACGTCATATGTTGGAGGTGCAGGTGGATATGAGGAGAGTGGTTGGGAAACCAGGCTGGCATTTGCTCAGGTGAAAGATAATGGTGGAGGTACAGACTGGAGAGATGAAGGGTTTGGGATTTATTTTGGCACAGGAACAACAGAATTTTATGTGGAGAGAAGGAAGAGTGTTAAGAGAAAAAGATGCTGTTAAATTGTTGGGGCGTGTGCATGTGTTTGTACTGTGAAGTTTACGTATATGTGTGCTTATATATGCATGTGTGAATGTGGCCATGCTTATTTATACATTGCATGATATAGTAGGGTCAGAGGAAAACCTCTTTCTACTTTGTTTGAGACAAAGAATCTTCTATGGTGTTGGTCACTGTGTATGCTCTGACGGCTGGCCACTTCAGAAAGTCTCCTGCTTCTACCTCCCATCAGGCTGTAGGGGTACTGGGATTGCAAATGTACTTCATTAGATTTACATGGGTTCCAGGGACTCCAGCTAAGGCCTTCACATTTACATTGCAGATACTTTACCCCCAGAGCCATTCTCCTACCAGAGAAGAACGATTGGGTAAGAGAAATTTGAAAAGATAAGAGTTTCTTAAGAGATATACTATATTTAGTTAGGCTCATGGATCATAAACACAAAGATACCACATACTCCCTAGGATTTATGAATCTAAGCCTTATAGAGTTGTTTTAGACAGAGATGGAAGTTTTGTTTTTATTGACCCAGAGATGACTGCATGAGAATGGAGAGAGAACCGGGAGTTAAGAGCACTTGTTGGTCTTGTAGAGTACCCAGGTTTAGTTTCCAGCACCCAACAGACAGCTCACACCCTCTTGTAACTCCAGTTCTGGGGGATCTGACACCCTTTTCTGGTCTCTGTAGCCACTGCACACATACCGTGCATGTGAATACAGGCAGGCACGTAATCTTCCTATTCACATAAAAGAAAAACAAGCAAATCTTGAGGGACATTGAACTTTGTCCTAACAACCATTTCATAGTCTCAAACCAGAGTAAGGAAGCAATTATGGCAAAAGAGGTCTTCCAATGCACTGAGATAAACTTTTAAGGCAAAGAAAAAACAGCACATAAGCAAACACAGCAAATCTGCTAGGAGGCAGAAATGGTGTGGGGTGAAGCAAATCAGTTTACTAGTGATGATGTCAGCTGGCACAAGGCCAGCAGTTGAACCTGAAACCATATTGTGATGGACACTGGTGTTGAGATAGTCCAGAAGGAGATTGGTAGTGCCCAAGGCTATGACTGGGAATTTTCATAGAACACAAACTCTAAGCAAGCAGTACGGAAGTTCTGAGCAGTGGTGGAAACAGCATCATAATCGTGATGGGAACAGGAATGGGTACCTGGACTGGGAAAGGGAAGAAGGGGATGGAAAGATGGCTCAGCAGTTTGTTCTTACCAGTTTTGGAGAGGATCTGAGTTTACTTCTCATTGTGTTTACAACTGGCTGTAACTTCAGCTGCAGGGGATTCAATGCTCTCTCTGGCTTATTGCATTCAGACGGCTCATGGGTGTGCATGCATGCACGCACACATGGGCATGCGCACGTGTGCGTGCATGCACACACACACACACACACAAAAGCAAATCTTAAGCATTAAAAGAATCTTTAAAAAGTAAGGGAGTAGATAACTGTTGAGTTATTGAACACTTTGGTTCAAAGTGCTCCCTGGAAACTCCTGGCAGGACTGGGCATAGAACCACATGTGTTTATATCTGAAACATAGCTTTGGTGCTAAACAGGTGTTTCAGTTATCATTTGAATGAATTCTTTATCTTCTAATTAATCTTTTGTCTCCTTTTCTCTCCCTTGGCTAATTTCATAAGATGATCTCTGATTAACATTCAAATAAGGCAAACAGAAGAGAAAGCTAGGATTAAAAATGAAACGATGATAAATTAAGGAACTTTGAATATGGGACTTATAAATATATTAATTGATTGTCTCTAACCCCAAAGCAGTCATACTTAGACATTTTGAAAGAAGGTTGTTTTTTCCTTCTGTTGTTGATTTTCAGTAAACTTAGGTCTCAAGCTAGAATGATAAAAATGCTTTAGACACTTAGAAATGGCGCGCGTGTGCCACACACACACACACACACACACACACACACACACACACACACACGCTTGTGTTTTTTCCCACCGAATAGAGGCGTAGCAAAGGAGTCTTCCCTCTGAATTTCTCTCCCAAAGCAGAGCTGTATTTTAGCTAGTGATCAGCTAACAACTAACATCCTATTAGCATCCTGGACCTCGGACCACGTGATCATTCATATTCAGTTCACATTAATACCCAATTTTGTTATCAGATGCCCTGGAAATGTCTCTTTCTACTGGGCATAACTTACTCACCTTGCCAACATACAAAGGGTCAGTCCCAGTATACTCTTCCAGCACGAAAAATTGATTCCAAACCCAGCTCCTCTTGCTTCGCTGATGTGACTGTGCCCTGTCTGAGAAGGGTGTTTCTAGTTCAACTCCTGGCATTGCAGTACTGGAGAGAACGGTGTTTGTAAGGTCCATCAGTGCCCAGAAGTACAAGGATGTGCCAAGTCCAAGCCGGCTCTTTGCATTGCTCATTCTACCCGTAGTCCACATGGGCTTGCAAGGGTTCCACAAGTCAAGTAGGACTACTGGAGTTGAGTAGTTTCCAGATAAAGCAAGCCACACCTCAGGTTATTGGAGATTCATGGCTTTCCAAAGGAGGTCCCCATTCAAGTCAATCTGCTTGGAGCTGAAGGCCTGTAAGTTAGGGAAAACACTGTCAGGACATTTCTTCCTGGGGACTGCTTGCAAGTTTTCCAGAATATTTTGTTTTCTGCTCAGTCAGTCAGCTGTTTATCCCTTAAGAAATGTCTCCTTATAAATAATATTTGACTATAAAAAGATAATGCATCTTGCTATAATCAGCCCAAAACATTTGGATCTTGATTCTGAGACAATAAAACCAGTAAAAAGAAAACAAACAAACAAACAAACAAAACAAAAAACCCTTCTTCTCAGTAGTAGCTTACATTTAGGGCTAGACTGTGTTATTGATTGGCTTGAAAACTTAGTAGTATGTTCTTTAAAATCAGAAAACCTCCTGAACTTTTCAGAATAGCATTCACTTCTAAAATTTATATCTACCAACTAACATTTTCCATTAGCTCAACTGCTTTTCTTGACTTATTAAAAATAGGAAAAAAAATAGAGTTCTTTTTCTTTTGCCACTGACAGTTACCTTATACCTGTCCCTGCTATTGATGATACTATGAATCTTGGGCTTCATTTTTAAGCAGCCATGGACCATTCTGACTTTTATCATTCTCTGAACTCAGAAGAATCAAGTTTCACACTCTACTGCTTCAGCTGTGAAGTGCTGATAGGGGCTGCTAATGTGACCTTTCTAGGATGTGAATGGCCAGTTAATCATTATGTCCTTCACAGGGGACTTTAAAGTGCTATTAGTCATATGCCGCTGTGAGTAAGCTAAGAGTTGATCTAATAGATTTCCTTTCCTGACCCGAAAGACTCATTTAGGCAAAGGATTGTTAACTTCTACCTGGCAAACACCTTTTCATCAGCCACACTTCTTCTGTGGCTGTGGAGTCAGCCTTAACCTGTGACCTCACTGCTGGGCTCTGACCTCATCAACCTTTTCTTCCCTTCCATGACTGGGTTTGATGAAGTTGTAGCATTGCACTCAGGCTACTCATCAGAGAAAGGGAAGTGCATTCTGTGGGCCTAATGTTTTCATGGATAACTTGAAAAACTGCTGCCATGCCCGAGAACAAGTGTGTGCACCCAATGGCTTCAGATCAGTACAACAACTGAACAGTGATCCTTATTCTGCTCTGCGAGTGACTTAGAAAGAATGCTCTCATGCTACCTCATGTCCCACTTTCCACCTGTCATCTTCAGGACAGGTTTTAGCATCCTCTCTAATACCACTGAGATGCACAAAAAGGTTCCATAGGATCATTCATACAGTGTCATTTCAGCCAGGGAGAAGTTGCATAAGTGAGAGATGATGAAGAGGAGAAGTCTGGGGAAACTGGTTTTGTAACAGAACAGGGTGCCTCTTCTGAGTTCTGACTGTAAAGACAGTGTGTTATATGGAAAACATGAGCTATGTGTGCCTTATTTAGGCTGATTCACTTGTGGTAGAAAGTGAGTTCCCAGATAGTAGCAGTTCTTTCTCTCCATGGATTCAGCAACAGAAACCAGATACTCCTTTTTTCTAGTTCCCGTCTAAGGGGAGGTGTTTCAGAAGGAGGATCTTCAATGGGGAAGTAGACTGATGGACAAGATTGCTGATGCCCAGAATTCTGTCTTGGGGACATAAGGTGAGTAGAGGGTTTTAACCCCACAAAACTGATAGCCGGATTACCATGCTTGGCAAACCATAAAAAAAATATGAATGGTCTATGCATTATCTAGACACAGGGGCACTTAGAGTTTCCCCAAGACAAACAGTTTCATTCAGACAGTTCAGTTTCTGGTTCTCTTTTTGCCTCTGACTTGTCTACCTCAAGTTATCAAGACAGTGATAGAGCTCTGCTGACTGACTGTGAGTGCCCCCCCCCATTTAATTTCCTTATCTGTTAAGCAGGCACAGTAATTCTCCTGTCTACTCAGCAGGGCTCTTGAGGAGATGATGGGATAATGCAGGCTAATGACAAAAATGACTGCTGGCATTTCTTGAATCACATAAATTGCCTGGGTCATGTGTGAAAATAATGAAGACAAGCATAAAACATATTTCATGGGTACAACTGGGAATAAAATCCTCCAAGGTTTGTACCATAGATAACCACACTGATCTCTAATGTGTGGTGAGTACTATTTGATAGAAGATTCTGGCTCAGTACAATTGTACAGTAACTATTCATGGCTTTTCCTTATGAAGATATTTACTAAAGGGACAGCTACTAGAAAACTCTGTAATGACAAAGAGAGTTCTTTTATTAGAGATAGTATTATCAACATATAATGTGCTTTATGTGTGTGCATATATATGTGCATTTTGGCTAATGTCTGTACTTCATACAAGATTTCTCCCTAGCACCCTTATTGCTTTGGATTGAGTGTGCATGTATACATGTGTAATGCATGTTTAAAGGTCCCGACTCTGCTCCCACTGATTAAATGTCATGGACAGAGCAAGATTGAGGGAATGTTGCAGGAGTTTAAGAAGTGACCATTATATTCTTCCATCTCTCATTAACCAGCCAGGTATTCTTGCCAATTAATCTCTCCTGTCCTTACCTAAATGTATGATCTGAAGAGTTCAAGGAAAAAAAAACCGAGTGGAAGTATTGTGATGGATATTTTGTAGGCAGTTCAGGTGCCTCAGCTTTTATCTCCCCTGTTGCCTAGTTGGTACCCCTACAAATGAGTAAAAGTTCTTTTTCTCTCCTTTCACTGTATATGCACAAAAGTGACTGTGGGGTATCTAGGGTGTGTGGGGCCCTCTGTGACTATGAAAGCAGGTAGTCCCTGGGTGCTCTCAGATTCAGTCAATAAAGATTTCCATGCCTGTAGACTCCTCTGTGTTAAGGAACTGGCTAGTGACGGATGATGGAAAGCATATTGTTTCCGTTTCCTAGGGGTAAAACACATGACACATACTCCCTGCCGAAATTTTCAGAAACTAAAAACCAGGCTGTACAATAGTAATACTTGTTCTTATCACAACTAGAGTTGTTTTCTACAAAAGAATGGAAAACCAGTCATATTAGACTTATTCACCATTTTGCTATTATAAATAATATGGTTTTCACATACATATTTTTTTGAAAAGAAAATGAATAGATTGCTTGTTTGAGACTACTTACTGTTCATATAAATGAAGATGCTGACATGAATATCTATACACAGGTCTGCTCTTAGAATACCCATGCCACATGAAAGCTACATTAGTGGAAATTGACTTCTGCATTTAATGAATCTTTAAAAAGTTCCCCACCCCATACTCTTCTGAAAGAAAGCAAACAGCTTGGTAATGATCACAGTAGGAGGAAATTAAAGTTGTGCTCAAAGTGTGTTCTCAGTGAATTGTTTATTTCGTTACTTAAATTCGTTGTGATATTTAAAATGTAGATCGGAGGGTGGTTACTGCTTTCTCCTCGAAATGAACTGGCTTTTATGGTTTTCCTCTGATTTCTCTCCTCATTATTCCAGTCTTCCTGAGCTTTTCATGGAAATGGCAGTGCTGCTCAGAGAGCCTCCAACGAGGTCTCTGCAGACGTTGCTGACTGTTAGAGGCTTTCTGTGGGAAGGGAGGGTGTTTGGGCGCTGATTTGCTGGTGTAATGCCTTCAGTGAAGAGGTTAAGTATGTGTTGATGGCGGTATTTGCTAAAGTATCTAAGATTTTTATTTTTTATTGTTTGTAAACATAAAAAAATCATCTAAACTTCAGGCAGTCATCTTGGATCTACCTTTTGCAGTCAAATGGATTCCAGATAAGAATCCCAAAGTTTCTCCACCTCCCTGTCCTGAGGGTGGGATCCCTCTCTCTTCCCTGGTCTTGGGGCTTCCCTCCTCATACTACTAGGATAAAGGGCCTGGGAGTTTTGAATGTATACCAAAGATAATTTTTCCCCTAAACTCTTTAACTTTACCTTCTGTCTAATGTATATCGGTCCCAGTAGATTTATAATCAACTAAGGATTGCAAACTATTCCAAACTCACCAGCCTTTGGTACCTCTGATGGAATTTTCAACCAGCCTAGGCTTCTACATCCCAAAGGACTTCAAAACAGCTAACCTTGGGTGGTAATCCAGCCTCACAAACTGCTCCAACATGGCCTGCACTTTCCTACCCCAGATTGTCCCACAACACCTGGACAGCTAGGGAAACAGCTTGCTCCTCTGGGCTTGGCCAGCATTTCAGCTTTCTTGGGTACCCAACAACAATTCCACAGTGTCAGTTGGAAGTAGTCAAAGAAAAGACTGAATTTCTCCTTATCATTTATTATCAACAAAAAGTCTGGGGTCTTAGGTCTCAACCCTGGAACAAATGTCTAACTAAGGTGTCTATAAACGTATCAAAGTGGACCCGATAACCATGTTCTCTCAGTGTCCATCAGTTCCTACCTGTTGGAGGGTATGGCAGGCATACCATGCCCCTACCTTAAACTTCTCCAGTTGAGAAGCAGAGCTTCTCTCCCCCCCATTGCCCTTCCCTAAATAATTTAGCCATTTTGGTGTCCTAGCCCCCTTTCCCCTTTTCATCTATGCTTCATTCTCCTGCCTCTTTCTCTCCTCTCTTTCCTCATGTGCCTGGCGCAGGGTCATCTTCACTCTAGACTCTACTAGATGGCCCTGCCTTTGGCTATGTTCTTCCTTTGATCTACAAACTTCCTCCTCTACAATACCTACGAGCAGTCATGTCCTTCCTTTATTATTTCCTTTTTTCATTCAGTATTGCTGTCTTTAGGTTTCCGTACTTCTTTTGAAACAACTCTGACTCATGAGTTTCAAAAATGCTCTTGAAAGCAAACAAGGGAAGAGGAACTTCATGGAGATCTTAGAGATCACAATGAAACATGACAGTATGCCATAAGGTGCCTCTCAATAAATCAGGACGTAGCATAGAGTCCCATACTGTTCCCTGTCTCAATCAAGGGTCTCTTGAGA